TAGTCCTGGTTCAGTCCTGATTCAGTCTTGTTTTAGTCCTGGTTCAGTCCTGGTTTAGTCCTGTTTTAGTCCTGGTCTAGTCCTGGTTTAGTCCTGGTAGTCCTGGTTCCTGGTTCAGTCTTGTTTTAGTCCTGGTTCAGTCCTGGTTCAAGTTCCTGGTTTAGTCCTGGTCTAGTCCTGGTTTAGTCCTGGTCAGTCTTAGTCCTGGTTTAGTCAGTCCTGGTTCAGTCCTGGTTCAGTCCTGTTTTAGTCCTGGTTTTAGTCCTGGTGGTTTAGTCCTGGTTCAGTCCTGGTCTGGTTCAGTCCTGGTTTTAGTCCTGGTCTAGTCCTGGTTAGTCTTGGGTTCAGTCAGTCTGGTTCAGTCCTGGTTCAGTCTGTTTTTAGTCCTGGTTCAGTCCTGTTTAGTCCTGGTCTAGTCCTGGTTCAGTCTGGTGTTCAGTCCTGGTTAGTCCTGGTTAGTCCTGGTTCAGTCCTGGTTAGTCCTGTTCAGTCCTGGTTTCAGTCTTGTTTTAGTCCTGGTTCAGTCCTGTTCAGTCTGGTTTAGTCCTGGTTCAGTCCTGGTTAGTAGTCCTGGTCTAGTCCTGGTTCAGTCCTGGTTCAGTCTCAGTCTGGTTCAGTTTTTAGTCCTGGTTCAGTCCTGGTTTTAGTCCTGGTCAGTCCTGGTTTAGTCCTGGTTTAGTCCTGGTCTAGTCCTGGTTCCTGTCTGGTTCAGTTCGGCATCACAGTCTTGGAAGTCACATAAACGGGAAACGGCCTTTATCTGTTTTTTCATTTTGGTTGAAAAAACTGTTGTTTTTTCGTTTTCTTATTTTTGGTTTTATTTTGAAAAACATATAAATGAATGACACACAGATTCTCTATGTTCAGGTTCCAGACGGGGGCGAGCGAGACCAGCCGCAGGCGGCGCAAAACATCCAGACAGAAGCGTGCGTCCAGTTTGGTCGGTCACATCTTGTTCTGAGCGTCCGTCCTTCGTGCTTTTGGTTCTTGTCAGGCCGAGACTCCTGACTCTGCTTCCCGCTGTGAACTGTGAGCGCAGGACATGGTCAGTCTGGCTCAGTGTGGCCTTAGTCTTTTGTAACACCTGATGTCTCCACACAGAAACCAAATCCTCCGTCTGAACACCACTGATTTTGCTGCAAACTTTTACTCTCTGGTTCAGATTGTTCTCGTCCTTCACAGATAATCCATAAAACCAACAGATAAAAGAAAAGGTCACCAAACTTTCAGTAAAAGTCTTCGTTCAGTCTGCAGGTTTAACGCTCAAATCCGATTTTTTTGTGAAATCCGATGTTTTTTCGAGGTCGTTCACATTTCCAGTTAAATGTGACTTGTATGTGACTCCAGTGTGAACATTAAACGGTCCAAAAGTGTCCCACATGTGACACTGGAGACACGACGACGTCAACCGCAGCGAGCGTCTCTGTGTTTACACAAGTTGAACAAACATGGACGCAGCATCGAGCACCTGGAGATTTTAAAGTTCCTCTCGTACCGGAGCCACAACATGAACAACTGACTTGTTTTAAGGAGGAGATTGAGAAGGAGAAGGACCAGGTTTTTGGTGGTGGTGTTTTGTGGTGAGTGGAGATGTGCTTCACTTCAGTCACATGGATCATGAACAGTTTTCTCTCTACTTCAGTGCAGAATAGTGACGTTTGTGTCTTGTTGATGACGTGTAGGTGGATGAATGTGACCTGACTGTTCACACTCAAGTCACATGTTAAAGATCAGATATGGATCAGTTTCAGGAGCACAGATCCAAGTGTCCTGGGTCATGTTTGGAAAAATCTGATCTGTGTGGTTCAGACTGACATTAAAAGATCAGATACAGGAACATAGAGACAAAAAATCAGATTTGGGTCACTTCAGGTGCAGACTGAACGCAGCCAAAGAATGATAAAAATGATTTCAAATGTTAGACGACACGTTAAAAGAGCCGAGCTTCTGCCTCTGTCCTCGTTTGACGATGTGCTCAGTGTTTTTATCCAACCTTAAAGAGGAATCAAACACAGTTCCCAAGCACTTATAAGAGTCCAACATCTCTACTGCTTCCCCATGGATGGAACTGGCTGTTGGGCTGTGGACTTTTTTCCGGACGTCTACAACTATTGCTTTGGTTTTGGTACATTTAGGTCCAGGTGGTTTTTATCGCACCGTTCAATAAAAGCAGGTGGAGCTCGGCCGTGGTCTGAGAGGAGGACAGTTTCATCTGAGAACTTGATCATGGAGCTGCCCTCGTTTGCAGATTTACAACTGTCTGTGTACAAAATATAAAGCAGCGGAGACAAAACACAACCCTGGGGGGAACCAATGTTTGATTTTTTTGTGGTAAAAAATCCATTTCTAACTAACCCTAAAATCAAAATAGATTCAATTGAAATAACTCGTGTCTCATCCACCAGGTTTTTGGGCGTCATTATCGATGATGATCTGTATTGGAAAGAGCAGTTGACTGGGTGACCAGAAAAATGAACAAATCTCTTCGTATTATAAGAAAAGTTTGTAAGTTTCTGGACTCAAATTCTATACTTACATTATATTATAGTTTACAATATGACAGACAGGGATAAATTAATATAATCTGGGCTTCACTTTCTCTACGACTCTGAACAAAATATTATTGGTGCAAAAACCTTTTGTTCGAATTGCAACTCATTCTACGCCACTAACATCGTCTGCTCATTTATTTACTAAACTTAACATTCTTAATATTTATGAGATTAATATTTATCAAATTTGTATTTTTATGTATAAAATTCTTTACAATTCAACAACGATCCCGAACATTTCACATCTTATTTTAAAACCAACGCAGAGATTCACAGATACAAAACTCGTCAAATGCATCATTTTCATGTTCCAAAATTTGTCACATCAAGAGCGAAGTTTTGCCGACGACACAGAGACGGAAAATTCTGGAGCAGTTTTCACGTCTGGTTTGTGACGCGGATCAGAGGCGTCGTTTAAAAAGAGTTTGAGGAAATGTTTGATATTTCATGTTAATGTTTGATCATCTTTCAATTGTGGATTTTTTATTGTGTTTTAATCCATGTTTGAATCAAAAGAATTTAATCCATGGTGTTTAAATGTAACTTTTATATATACACACATTTTTATGCTCAATGATAATGTAAAAGTTTGAATGTATTCATAAGGTGGAGGCTTTAAAGGTTGTATAGAGGATTTTTTTTAAGGGAAGTGAAATACAGCAACAGTTCTTTTACAAATGTTGCTCTTGTGTGACACCACCTTCCTCCTCCACAGCCTCAGTAGAAACATCTCCTCCTCCCGCCTTTTTACTCTAGAAATCACGTTTGTTTACATCCAGTGCATGTTCAGAATTACTGTTGAAGTTTCCTGTCTAGAAATAATTTAGCAACCGACGCGTCAGTTTTTAGACCCTTCGTCCGCTTCGTTCGCGCCATCGCTGGAAGGAATCTCCAAGAATCACCTCGGTTTGTCTTCGCTCCTTTTCCCCTTCTTCTCTTCTTCTTTCAGCGACCTCAAAAACCGACTTTCTTTTGCGGCGAACTGCTCGTGGATTCTCGTCCGCCGTCGCAACAAACTTTGTGCGAAATGTGAGGAAGCGACAGTTTTGAAAAAGCCTCTAAGAACCGCTGCATAAACCACGTGATCCCTGCATCCCGACGAGTCAGTTACACTAGAAACGAAGGGAGTTTGATTGACGACCTAACAGCCAATAGATAAAGAGGCAGCCTCGTTTTCTATTGGCTGATGTGTATCTGGCCTCAACACGTCCACAGTTGATAAATTTTCATTCTTTTTTTTTTGTCATCATAATTACAAAGCTGCTGCGTCTCTGTACTGGTATTTTAAACTTTCATTGACAATTTGAAACAAAAAAAAAAACCTCCATACAACCTTTAATATTTCGCCCTATTGGGGTTTTTGCCTTTTCCGGGACCTACTTTTTATCTCGTGTGTTTCTTTTTATTGTCATGTTATATCTGCAAAATATATAAATAGTAAAAAATAATAAATAAATAAAACGATGGGATTGGACATTTTCCCATTTACCAGGCGGCGGGTTAAGAAGTTTAAAAGTAGCAATAAAAGCCGATCAGGTCGACTAAAAATAGAAGCTGATGTGTGTGTGTGTGTTTGTCTCACATGGTCGACGAGGGAGACGTCGCAGCCGGGCGTGTCCAGCAGCAGCTTGACGATCTCTGTGCGCCCGTGTTCGCTCGCGCACATCAGGGCCGTGGAGCCTTCGTCGTCCTGGATGTTGACGTCGGCGCCGCACTCCAGGAGAGCGCGAACCATCTCCAGACGCCCGTGACTCACCGCCAGCATCAGCGCCGTCTGACCCGCCTGGACACACGCCGCGAACCACAAAACGACAAAACACAACGTCACCGCACACGACCTCGAAAAACGACTGAGACGAACTTGACTGATCCACGACGAGAAATGACAAAATCCTACTCTAGAAGACATTATTTTTACTTGATTCTAAATTGATTTCTGACGTTATTTCATCAAAATATCACAATATTCTAATCTCAAATCATTCACCGACATCTTTGGACCTCAAGACATTCATGTACCGTATTTTTCAGACTATAAGGTGCACGGGATTATAAGGCGCAATATCAATAATGTTGAATTCTCTGGTCTATTTTCACACATAAGTCACACTGGATTATAAGGAACATTAAGAGAAACAAACGGACGACACTTGAGTTTGATCTTTAGTCCAGACGTCCACGATCCATCGGCAGATCGTGGAGTATTTCGCCCGGCGTTGTCTCTCTGTCTTGGTGAATGTGGATTATGAATGTGAATGTGGGTGGATCATTTAAGTTTGTTTTTTTATTGTCTACGAGGACGACTCAAATATACACTGAGTAATAATGTGTTCAGTTCAGCTTTGCCACGTTTGTTTACGTTTTACGTTTTACATTTTACTCCGTGAGGTTCCTGACCACAGTAGCCATAATGTTCCGACAATCCATCCAGCGGTGTGTATTCGTAGTTTACCAAAGTAAAAACTAAAACATTTGGTCAGATTTTTGAGCACCATGTGCCACAGAAAATCGGTTCGAGGTCAATAACACAACCAGAACACATAAGGGCTCCGGGTTATAAGACGCACTGTCCATTTCTGAAAAAATGTAAGGATTTTAAGTGCACCTTATAGTCCAAAAAATACAGTAATTGGCGTTTTAACCCTTTACTATTGCCAATTCCTGAATATAAAAATCATAGATTTTTTTTAAACCAATGAGAAACAAGATGTTTCAGATTCATGGAGGCTGCAGTTACAGGAGCGAATTTGGAGTTGAATTTCATATTAAGAATTTATGACAAGGAGAAAATTCAGTTTGTCGTCTGGACAAAAGTGAGTTTGGTTGAAGACGTTTCGCAGCTCATCCAAGCTGCTTCTTCAGTTCTGGTCAGACGCTGGTGACGCTTCTTTATATTTGTCTGTAGGGAGGAGCTAACTACACTGAAACTACTCTGAAACTAACACCCACTTGTTTACAGTTTGTGTTTGTTAGTTCGGCCTGTTGACCTGTACAGGGTGTGGAGACTAATTAACAGAACAATTCATGTCCATAATGAGGCTTCCACACCTCTGGTCCTGACCTGACTACACCTGTTGTTCTTGTTTGTTTGAATAAGGTTTGAGGATGGAGTTGTAAACAGGAGATAGTTGGTGTCTGAGTCCATTTCTGTTTAGAGAAGGATTCTCTTTCTTCTTTCACTCTCCTCTCAAACCAGTTCTTTTCTCTGGCTAAAATCTGAACCTCGCTGTCCTCAAACGAGTGGCCCGTGGCTTTTAAGTGGAGCTGCACATCAGACTGAGGTCCTGTGTTGTTCTCTCGTCTGTGTTGGTTCATCCTCTTGTGAAGCAGCTGTTTAGTTTCTCCAATGTAGCGTTCAGTGCACTGAATGGAGAAGACCACATTGATTTGTCTGTGGTCTGGTGGAACTGGTTTGAGAGGAGAGTGAAAGAAGAAAGAGAATCCTTCTCTAAACAGAAATGGACTCAGACACCAACTATCTCCTGTTTACAACATCCATCCTCAAACCTTATTCAAACAAACAAGAACAACAGGTGTAGTCAGGTCAGGACCAGAGGTGTGGAAGCCTCATTATGGACATGAATTGTTCTGTTAATTAGTCTCCACACCCTGTACAGGTCAACAGGCCAAACTAACAAACAGAAACTGTAAACAAGTGGGTGTTAGTTTCAGAGTAGTTTCAGTGTAGTTAGCTCCTCCCTACAGACAAATATAAAGAAGTGTCACCAGCGTCTGACCAGAACTGAAGAAGCAGCTTGGATGAGCTGCGAAACATCTTCAACCAAACTCACTTTTGTCCAGACGACAAACTGAATTTTCTCCTCGTGGTGGATTCTACCTGAACGACTGAGGGATTCTTCACATATTAAGAATATAAATACATTTACAGACAAAATAGTGAATTAAAAACCCCAGGATCATACAGACTGGGTTAAAACGAACATTTTAAGACCAATGTTTCGATGTTAAGTCTGAATGTGAAACCCGCCCAGTGACCCCTGCCCTCCGTCTGAGATCACCACGTCTTCAGATTCTCGCATGCAGACTGTCCTTTCCTGTCCTTTCCTGTCCTTTCCTGTCCTTTCCTGTCCTTTCCGGTTCTTTCCTGTTGCGTCGCGTTCTGGTTCGGGGGTGAAGCCTGACGTGGAGGACAATAGTAAACACCTATAGACGTGAATAGCAGGAAGTGGAGGAACACGTATGGAGATGGTCACACGTGATTATCAGAGAAAATCTCAGCCGCTGTTTGTTTAGAAAAGGGCCACAGAGCTGAACACGGCTTTGGTTTAAAAGTGTCCGGACTCTGATGTCAAAACTGTCTCTTGGTTCCACTGATTCTTGTGAAAGTCCTGAGAGATTCTGACCTTTGACAGGAGCAGCTCTGGGGGCAAGAGCAAAGATCTTATGTTCTGATCAAATATGAACAGGCCTTTAGTCTTTCAGTCACAGTTTAATCTGATCAGTCAGTTCCTCAAGATAAACTGTGTTTGAATAATCGAGGTTAATCTGTGTGTCGTTCGTTCATTTGTTTTTCAGTATAAAACTAAAAAATAAGAAAATGAAAAAACAACAGTTTTCTTCATTATTTGTCTCCAAAACCAAAATGAAAAAACAGATAATGATTTGTTTTTTTTCAGTTTTCGATTTTGTGTTTAAATGAAAAATTTAAAAAACAAATAACGACCGTTTCCCATTTACGTGACTTCTGTGACTGTGATGCCGAACTGAACCAGGACTGATCCAAGTCCGGGACCAGAGCAGGACCAGAGCGGGACTGAGACTGGGACTAGACTGAGACTGAGATCAGAACTGAAACCGGGACCAGAGCGAGACCAGTCCGAGACTGAAATCAGAACTGAGATCGGGACCAGACAGAGACTGAGACCAGACATGGACCAGAGCGGGACTGAGACCAAGATCAGACCGGGACCAGACCGGAGGCTCAGAGCCCACAGCAGGGCCAGAGCTCGAAGCTGAGGCTCAGAACCTGCGGAGGCTCAGAGTCAAAGCTCGGAGTCAAAGCTCTGAGTCTGCTCTGGTCCTGCTCTGGTCCCAGTCTGGTCCCAGTCTGGTCCCAGTCTGGTCCCGGATCCTGGATCAGTCCTGGTTCAGTTCGGCATCTCAGTCACAAAGTCACGTAAACGGGAAACGGTCGTTATTTGTTTTTTCCATTTTCCATTTAAACACAAAATCGAAAACTGAAAAAACAAATCATTATCTGTTTTTTCATTTTGGTTTTGGAGACAAATAATGAAGAAAACTGTTGTTTTTTCATTTTCTTATTTTTGGTTTTATTTTGAAAAACGATCGACACACGGACTGAGGTTGGTAGTTCTAGAACCTACAGGATTTGAGTAACATAAAAAACATGAAATGAAATGTGTTTTTCTCAGAGCTCCTCAGACTCGGACCTGACTGGCTTTGGCGTTGACGTTGCCCTGAGCGAAGAGTTTCTTCACCACCTCCATGTCGTCGTCCTCCTTCACCGTGGACAGAGCCGCCAGCATGATGGCCGTGTAGCCCGCTTTGTTCTGCTGATCCACACTGCACAGACCTGCACACGCCAAGGAACGTTTATTCATAAAACACAATTCATGCATAAACTAATCCAAAGTTCAGTCTAAAATTCTTCTTTTTTTAATTGTATCGTCGTTCACACAAACAGTAACTACACAAAAGACGTGTTAAAGGTTCGATATCACACAAACCTGACTCGTGTTATTTGAGTGACTCTTTATTATGAGTCTGTTTACATCTCCAAACCTCAAAACGCTCTGTTCCACCTTGTGATGTCATGAAGTGGTAGTTTTCAAGTGAACAGCTCCTTTTACCTTTAGTTCAGTAGAGATTGAATTTATCCCAGTGATTCTAGTGAAGGTGTGTGGAGTTTAAAAACACAGTGGAGCACTTCCTGTATCACCACATGATGACATCACAAGGTGGAACAGACTGTTTTCAGTCTGAAAGAAGAACTAAATACAGGGTTGCAGGGTTCGAATGAAATCAATTTCAAAACTAAAATCAAACAAAAAAAGTAAAATAACATAACATAAAATAAATTTGCAATTAAATTCTTTGTGTCATGGTGTAAAATATCTGTCTTTGCCTCTTTGGAAACGTTTGTTTTTTGTTCTGCGTCTTTCTCAGTTTTGTTTGGTTTTGATTCCAGTTTTCTCGTTTGTGCAAACGTGACGGGGGGCGGGGTTTCAGCGGGTGCATTCCCATTGGATAATTTGTGTTTGACGGACAGTTGAGCTCCTGAAGCTGTTGTAGATTAGGGTTATAACTTTTTGAACTTTTTTTCCAAAATCAAAGTCCTGCATCATGATTGGATGAACTTTTTGGTATAATTGAAGAAACCAAACTCCATTTTCAACACTCTTTTAAAAAAGTCTCCCCGAAACTAAAAAAAATATCAAAACAAGGGCCGTTACAAGTCAATGTGACTGAAAACGGATCAATAATAAGTTGTTCTGCATCATAATAAACTGGAGTTTCACTTTCTATTCTTGTTTCACTTTATAAACCAACAAACCAACACTGACAATCATCATTTTTGGACTTTTAGTTTCCTGTTTTATCTGATCTTTACCCTGATCATGTGTTTTGTTCCTGTGTTTTTAAAGAGAAAATTGCCTTTGGTTCTTTTATGATTGAACAGATATGAACCTTTTAACAGTTTTATTCTGGTTGTTGCTTTATGAAAACTTCATTTTGAGTCTGGGGGGATGTTTTTCAAAAATATGACCAACTGAAGGTCAATTCCTTTCATTACCAGCAAAAGTTCATCTAAATATGATACAGGGTGTAGAGGTTGTAAAAACGTTCTAACACTGTTGTGGACGTTTCCTGCTGTAGTTCTGACGTTTACGTTGTTTCCACCTGAAAACGATGAATATTAGAAAAGCTCTGAGCACCGAAACTTCACCAGGAAACGTCCAGGCTCAACTGTCCGTCAAACATAAAAGAGCCAATGGAAATGCACCCACGGAAACCCCGCCCACGTTTGTGTCACGTTTGTGTCACGTTTGTGCCAAAACTGCAAAAGGCAAAAAGTCAGAGAGAAAAAACGAGAACTAAAGAAAAACATCATCAAACAAAACTGAGAAAAACACAGAACAAAAATAAAAGCGATGTGCGACCGCTGCTCAGGTCCAGATGATTCTCACAAATATCACAAGAATCATTCTTGCAGCGGAAGGTTAATGAAATACAGACAAAAAGTGACATTTCAACTCTTAAATGTTGAATCTAAGTTGTGCCGCAGACTCACCGGTGTCCAGCAGGAGCCCCACCACCCTGAAGTTGGAGTGGGAGACGCTGTAGTGCAGAGCCGTGTTGCCGTTGCCGTCGGCCATGTTGACCACGTGTCCCAGGAGCGCGGCGGACACCTCGGAGAACGCCATGAGGTAATCGGACACTCGCGACGGGGCCGACGTCTTCGCGCTGGACACTCGGAACCACTCCATCTGCACCGTGTGGGAGCTGGCGAGCTGAGGGGGCGGAGCCAAGTCCACAACCACAGATGAAAAACACAGATTAGAAAGTAAAGAAATAAACCTTTATTTCTATGGAACCTTTCACAGATGAATAAAATGTCCAAGTGTTTTACAAAACAATAAACAAGATCAGAGGATTTACAGTCGACTAAAAACTCGTCTAAAAGTCTGAGCTGCTTTTAAAAGAGTCAGAGTCTCACCAAGGACCCGGGGCCACAGCCTGAACATCCACGTCCCCCGTGTTTTAAATCGGGTCTTTGGGCCCTGACCTGAGGACCTGAGGTGTGACCTGAGGTGTGACCTGAGGTGTAGGGAGCAGTACGTCACAGATGAACTGGGCTCTGTCCGTTTACAGCAAAAGTGTCAAACTCAAACTCACGTTGGACCAAAAATAAAAACTGGGACTAATTCGTGGGTTAAACTAAATATTTACTGTAAAATTTCGACAACATCTGCATGTTTTCTCCTCTTTCCTGATCTGTAATGTTAAACTTTTTCTTATTCAAATAAATGTTTAATAATAGTTTTGCTTAAACATTGAATCTAGACAAAACAGAATATAACATAATAACATTTTAAATAAATCCATGTGTCTATAGTTGAGTTTCAGCTGACGTCATTGTTATTAAAAACCCGCGTTGCTGCTGGGAAATATTTTGGTCGGAGGCGAGAAACACGGTAGCGTCAAACACAGTGTGTAACCTCGCGTATTTATCCCCGATAATGGTAAATTCCTGCTGCATTATCGGACGCACAAATAGAAACACGGAAGAAGGAAAATGTCTTTTTCATATTCTGAGTGAAAAGAACCGCTAACTGTGAATTAAACGACTTTCAAACATCTGCAGAGCAAACGTAGAAGATCCTAACAAACCGTGGACTCAACAAGTTCAACAACACATCCAGACTCTTGGAGGTTTTCATCTTTTCTGCTGTGAATGGCCCAGGAGTTTCCACCAAGTCATTGTGGATGTCGCCCAAGTGAATATTTGTCCAGGGAGTTGGAGATTCTGACCAGAAGTTTGGTTTGGTCCAGACTCTGTCGGGGTTGAAAAGGGTGACCGCCCCTGGTCCTGCTGCATCATGTATGTCAGTGTCTTGTAGGATTTCAGCAGATTTCAGGCTCGGGGGCGGGGACAGGTGTATGGATCAGGTACGAGTGGACGTCCGGATACTGAAGTTTGAGACGTTTCTTCTCATCATTTACCGTTTGCTGTTAATCATGTTTTGCAGATTTCAAGCTGCAAGTCATTAAATATTCAGCCAAAAACGGAAATCGAGCAGCAGAAAGAAAGTTTGGAGTGAGCGAGAAACTTGTGAGGGACTGGAAAAAAGTGGAGGATATTTGAAACGCAATGAAGAAAACAAAGAAGCTCATCGCGGTTTAAAAGCTCGATTCAGCTGGAGTTGTCGGTGTTATGAAGACAGGGCTGTATTATAGCGTTTATTTAGTTAGGGTGCAGTACCAAGCCTGACCACTAGGGGCGCGGCCGTTTGTGAGCGCATGATAAGTTTAGTTTTCTCATTATTAGTCTGTGCATGGAGGTGTGTTGTTGTTCCTTTTTGTTGTGGTGTGCGTCCATGAGACAGGTGGGTGTTTTACCATGTTAAATTAGGGTGTTTAATGAGGAAACGTGTGTTCACAGTTGTTCAATGTTATTTATGCAGTTATAACGCATGTTAGCTTCAATGCTAACTTTCGCTAAGCTACTTTTCATTTTATGTATGCTTTATCTTATTATTTAATTCATGTTAGTCAAGTCTTTTGTTTATACGACTCAGGTAGCCTTATGTATATTTGGGGATTGTGTTTGACACAGAATGCCTATGTTTATTGTAGTTCATTAGTAGTCGAGGTTTTGAGGCCTACCTTTTTTCACGTGTCTGCCGAGTTCCCATTGGTTAATATATATTTGGATTTATATTTCTATTTGCCTAATATTGTGTATTATTATTGTTATAATATATTGTTATGTTATTATTGTTCCTTTTACTCTAGTCTATTTCTGATATTGTGTTTATTTGTTTGTTTACAGAACCACACATATACACACACGCCCACATACTCATCCCATCAAAAGACAATAAAGAAGTAAAGATCTTCCGTCTCATCCTTGCATTCTGACCGATGCACAACCCTACTGAACCAAACAGTCGTAGCAAACCTCCAGAACAGTCGGAGTTGTTCAGAAGCGACACCGAGGATGAAGAGTTGAATGGATTTAGTGATTTGGAGTGAGATGGAGAGTTTGTTAAACTTGTTCTGTTCTGTTGTTTATGTTCTAGTTTATCTGAAGAACTGTTCATATGTGACGTTAACAGTCTGTTCTTCTCTCTTCTATTGTTTTTACTAAATTAACCCCCAAAAATGAGACTTATTTGTTGTTTTTTTCTTCATTCTGCATTTTTTGGCTGAAGTGACTAATATTCTGAAAAACACTGTAACTCCTAAACATCGTCTCATGATCATGTTTTTTTTTTTTTTGGTTTATTTTGTGACTCAGGTACATATAGATGTTATTATTATGAAGGTCAGTGTGTGTTCTTACCACTTCTTTACTCTGGGGGGCGCTGTGCTCTTGGCTCAGGTGGTTCTTCAGGATGAGGCAGGCTTCACGCATCTTTGAGCTCAGTTCAAACCTGAGACGAAGACAAAAAGTTTTACTCTTCAGATCGAAATGTGACGCTTTATAATAATAATGTTACTGTGCTTGGTCAATGTCAGATTATTTATTTATAATTTAAATATTCAGATTTATTTAAACAGCAGGTTCCACCACAGAGTTCAGATGTTTCCTCCACTTTTACGTCAGGACTTTTATTTTCAGACTTCATCACACTTCCTGAATATTTTGTCTTGATGTAAAATGTCGGTTGTTTATAATTTTACTTCCTGGTTGCAGAGTCGTTTCCCCGAGCAACCACAACGTAAACAAAGACCAAAACCTCTTTAAATTACACAAAAGATCTGATTCAACTCATTAAAATAAAATGTAGTGAAATAAAGGTTTAAACTGTTTTAAAAGACCTTCAGCATAAACCTGGACTAAACCACGACTAAACCTGGACTAAACCAGGACTAAACCAGGACTAAACCAGACTAAACCTGGACTAAACCAGAATTAAACCAGGACTAAACCAGGACTAAACCTGGACTAAACCAGGTCTAAACCAGGACTAAACCAGGACTAAACCAGGACTAAACCAGAACTAAACCTGGACTAAACCTGGACTAAACCAGGACTAAACCAGAACTAAACCTGGACTAAACCTGGACTAAACCAGAACTAAACCTGGACTAAACCTGGACTAAACCAGAATTAAACCAGGACTAAACCAGAACTAAACCTGGACTAAACCAGGACTAAACCAGAACTAAACCTGGACTAAACCTGGACTAAACCAGAATTAAACCAGGACTAAACCAGGACTAAACCTGGACTAAACCAGGTCTAAACCAGGACTAAACCAGGACTAAACCAGGACTAAACCTGGACTAAACCAGGACTAAACCAGGTCTAAACCAGGACTAAACCAGGTCCACACCAGGACTAAACCAGGACTAAACCAGGACTAAACCTGGAGTAAACCTGGACTAAACCAGGACTAAACCAGGACTAAACCTGGAGTAAACCTGGACTAAACCAGGTCTAAACCAGGACTAAACCAGGACTAAACCAGGACTAAACCTGGACTAAAACCAGGACTAAACCAGGACTAAACCTGGACTAAACCAGTAAACCAGGACTAAACCAGGACTAAACCAGGTCTAAACTCAGACTAAACAGTTTTAGTGTTTTTTTCATATTTTGCAGGATTGAGTGAAACATTTTGGCTCTACAGTTTTTTTTCTGTTTGTCACGTGTTCCCCTCCTCCTGCTCTAGATGAAACAGAAACGTTTCCACGGAGACCCTCCAGTAGAAATGTTCCTGAGTGCAGCTTTAGCCGCTCTCGTACTTCTCTTTGACCTCGGGGCCGCTGCGCTCAGTCGCTCTCAGAGCCTCTTCGTCCGTGTCGCTCTCGTCCAGATTCACGTTCCTCTCCTCCTCCGACGTCTCCACCTCCAGCACCGCCTCGTCCTCTGAGCTCTCGCCGTCCTCCACGCCGTCCCCGCTCTCCTCCTCCTCGCTGTCCTCGCTGTCCCCCGACGAGCTCCCGTCCTCCTCCTCCTCCTCTCCCCTCCTCCTCCTCGTCTTCACTCGACGTGGACTCGTATCTGACACAGAGAAACGCCGCACTTCACCTCAGGTACAACAAATATTACATCTTTTATTATATTAAGGCTGGGCACGTTAATGCGTTCATTATTTGCGTTAACTAATGAATTCATTTGCGCCGACAATTACTTTTCTCCCCTTAACGTAGATTTTTTAAATTAATTTTTTAATTATAAATGACTTTTATTTTGAAAAAGTCCATCATGAGCGAGACCAGAATGATTCTTCCTGCTGCTGCGGCGTCACAGAAAACAGAGAGAAAAACAGATAAACAAACATGGAGGAGGGTGAGGAACTTTTACACGACTATTTTCATCTTAAAGTTCTTCAGACGGAGCAGTCGACACAGACAAAGTCACTTATAAAACTGCAAAACTGAACTGTCTTATCACCGGAGTCTAAAATATCACCTAAACCGACGCACTCTGCTGAGACCAGCTGAAACAAGTGGAGCGAGACTTGGGCCGATGCAACATGTCAGCGCCGTCGCTCCACACACACATGCACATTACACACAGCGCATACGGCACCAAGAGCTTGCGGGGGAACCACCGCGTGACAGAGTCCTGCACGAGTCCAGTTTTGAAGACCAGCACCACAACCGTCCATTAACCAGTGATTCTATCAAAGTTCTTCCCAGACCTGTTCACACTCCACCTGTCACCCGCCCGAGCCGCGATAAACACACACAAATCTAATCATTCTAACTCAAGCATCAGAATACGACCTGAAAAGTTACAACTTCAAGAATTCCAATCAAGAAATGAAATAAAACGGTTTCACTTTCCTCAGTACGACGCAAATTTACAGACGCGACTCGACCGACATCACTGGATTTATTTACTGAACAGAAGAAACACTTTTGCACCGCACACGCCAAGGACTGAACCAGGACTAACCCAGGACTGATTCCAGACCAGAACTGAACCAGGACTCACTGTCGGGACACGTCTGGAGGTGTGTCCACGTAGTCCGTCAAGAGACCATGAACAAAAGCCCCGGCGTAGAGCTTCACACTCTGCTCCACGGGCTCGGGGTTCTCTCTCTCTTCCAAGATTAGTCCTGGTTTAGTCCTGGTTTAGTCCTGGTTTAGTCCTAGTTTAGTCCTGGTGTAGTCCTGGTTTAGTCCTGGTTTAGTCCTAGTTTAGTCCTGGTTTAGTCCTGGTTTAGTCCTGGTTTAGTCCTGGTTTAGTCCTAGTTTAGTCCTGGTTTTCCTAGTCCTGGCCTGGTTTAGTCCTAGTTTAGTCCTGGTTTAGTCCTGGTGTAGTCCTGGTGTAGTCCTGGTTTAGTCCTAGTTTAGTCCTGGTTTAGTCCTAGTTTAGTCCTGTTAGTCCTGGTTTAGTCCTGGTTTAGTCCTGGTTTAGTCCTAGTCCTTTTAGTCCTGTCCTGGTTTAGTCCTAGTTTAGTCCTGGTTTAGTCCTGGTTTAGTCCTGGTTTAGTCCTAGTTTAGTCCTGGTTTAGTCCTGGTGTAGTCCTGGTTTCAGTCCTGGTTTAGTCCTGGTTTAGTCCTGGTTTAGTCCTGGTTTAGTATAAGTCACAGGATTTAAAGTGTGTAAAAGAAGTGGTGGTTTATAGTCTGGACATTACGGTAAACGTTTCTCACCCTCCGTTCAGGATCCCCACAAACTGCAGGCTCTTCTTGTTGGTGCTGCGGGTCTCGGAGCCGTTCCCGTCGCTCCTCTTCATTATGGACTTGAGCAAACCTGCGGCTCACAGACGAACAGAGACAGAAGAAGGTGTTTTACAGATCGTAGACTGATGACGTCAGACGCCCGCGTGGGGTCAGAGGTCAGAGACACTTCCATCGATCACAGTTGAAATCTCCAAAAGGCTGAACCTGAACCTATTGGTGAGCGGAGCCAAGAACTCACCTTTTTATCACACAAACCTGCATTTGAACTTTTGTAAGATGCTCCCATGTGTGTATAAACCTTTTTCACAATGTTGTTGTTGTGTGTAAGTGTGTGTGTATGTGTGTGTGTGTAAATGTGTGTGTAAATGTGTGTGTAAATGTGTGTGTGTGTGTGTAAATGTGTGTGTAAATGTGTGTGTGTGTAAATGTGTGTGTGTGTGTGTAAATGTGTGTGTAAATGTGTGTGTAAATGTGTGTGTAAATGTGTGTGTAAATGTGTGTGTAAAGGGGAGTTTCATGCTGGGAATTATTTTGGTCGGCGGCAAGAAACACTAATTCAACATGACGGACGGAGCCAGAAAACACGGAAAGCACAGGTGTCAAACATACGGCCCAGGGGCCAGATCCGGCCCTCCAAGTCCTTTAATCTGGCCCTCGGCTGATTTTCTACTAAAATATTGTATTGATATTTTCTATTAAAATGGTGTTAATTTTCTGTGGTGTTTATCACAGCAGCGTCTCCAGCGTCTCTCTGTACGTGGCCCCTCCCACCAGAGCAGCACAAATGAAGACTTGTCTCTTTCCAAACGCTCTTAAAGGACGATCGTTTTGACTGTTGACCGTGACACCCTCATCAGAAAAATGTCCAACATGAGAAAAGTGGAGCCGAGTGCAGGATTTTACAACAAAAATGGACTTATTCCTGTTTACAGACAAGTTCATGTTCAAACTTTGTGTTGAAATAGCTTTTTTTTCATAATATTATAATATTTTGTAAAAGTAAGAGTTCATCAATAAAAAAGATTTCTGTAGCAGATTTGTGTTTCTCTGCACCAATATTTGAACTTATTGTTATTTTTGGGGTTTATATGACTTGAGTTTTCTGATCCGGACACTTTGGATCAAAGTCGGTTGGACACGACCCCCGGAACAAAATGAGTTTGACACTTTTGGTTTAGATCGTTTCTCCTTTGTGGAGTTTGTTGGTTGAACATTTGATGAGGGGCAGATTTATGAAGCTGCTGGAGAAAACACCAAACCCAGAAATAGATCTTGTGGCATGAGCTCTGTAATACTGTGTATATATATAATATATAATATATATATATATATTTATATTTATCTTCTCTGAAAATGTTTTGTTTCTCTTAGGGGTGTCAAATTATCGCGTTAATTGCGATTAATTAATTACAGTCATATTTAGCGCGTTATGTTTTTTAATCGCGTTAATCTCATTTTTAATCTCTAACTTTAGTATTTCTGTATGTGAGTTTCTTTATTATAAAACCTGTTTTTATGTGTTGTTGGGACAACAACACACACACACACAAAAAACATTTATACATTTTTTTTTATTTCGGTAATTCCACTCATTGTCGGAAACCCACATAAAACACGCGCAGTAAGAGCGATGTAAACGTCATGTTAATGTTAGCGGCGTCAGTCGCACAATGGACGAGGTGGAAGAGCCAGTAGAACAGAGCAGCAGTGCACAGGGAAAAACACATTTGTGTCTTGGAAATTATTCTCCCGACGTGAAATATAAAAGAAAATAACAAATATAAAATCGCCTGAAAACAACCTGCATAGACTCATGATGTCTGCACTACTGTCCTATACACACACACACACACACACACACACACACAAACACACACACACACACACACACACACAAACACACACAAACACACACACACACAAACACACACACACACACACAAACACACACACAAACACAACACACACACACACACACACACACACACACACACACACACACACACACACAACACAAACACAAACACACACACACACACACAAACACAAACACAACACACACACACAACAACACACACACACACACACACAAACACACACACACAAACACAAACACAAACAAACACACACACACAAACACACAAACACACAAAACACACACACAAACACACACCTTCATCATCGTCATTAACCTGAGAACGCGTGGACCACGTTTCCTTCCGTAGTTACTGCGTGAACACTGACCTGCTCCCGTGAGCCGCGTGTCGATCGTGTTTTCTGCTACGCTGCGTAAACCGCGCTTCCTCCTGTGCGCCTCTAAACCAGAACTAACACCAAGACTAAAACCAGGACTAATCCAGTCCAGGACTAAACTAGGACTAAAACTAGACTAAAAGCAGGACTAAACCAGGTCTAAACCAGGACTAAACCAGTGATCTCATATATAAAGCATTTCTCTATCAATAATATTTTTAATCTGGTTAAGGAAAGACTGGACTTTTTATTGTCTTTAAGTCGACAAAAGTTATTATGTTCAGATTTCCTCGTCTTTACTTTACAGCAAACAGTTTCTTATTCATGGAGACTTGGGCTCAACAGACAATTTGGAGAGATTTGTTAAACAATAAATGACTTTATAAAGGCACTTTTTTTGTTCTATATCAGTGTTTTGATCTGCCACAATAATGTAATAATGAATTTAAATGAAAATACCTCAAATTGAAGCTTTTCTCAGCAATTTTTAGGTGAGATTAAAATCAGATTAATTAGATTAATTAATTACAGATCATAATTAATTAATCTCTCAATTTTTTTAATCGCATGACAGCACTAGTTTCTCTCACCTGTCCTCGGGGTCATGGGCTCCTCCGGCTCTGGCTCCATCTTCTCTGCTCTTTGCTCCTTGTCGTTCTTCTGCTCTGTGACCTGCAGCTCGTCACACTGACACCCCACACTCACCACGTCCACACTCGTCTTCTGCTCCTCCGTCTGCGTCCCCTCCTCGCTCTGCGTCAGATGCCCTCCCACGCTCGCGTCCCTCACCTCCACGCCGCACCACACCTCCGCCTCCTTCACCTCCGCCGCTCTCGTCTCCGTCTGCACGCTCGCGGTCTCCGGCGCGGCTAAAACCCCGACCTCCCTCGTCGCTCTGGCCGCGCTCTCCTCCGCCTTGGCTCTGAAGTTCTCCACCTGCCTCCCGGCTTCGCTTAAACGTTCCTCCAGAGCCTGAATCGACTCCTGCTGGAACTTGATGGTGTCCTGCAGCGTGTCCATTTCTCTCTGCGCTTCCGACGTGACCCCGAGCATCGCCTCCATCACCCACACCTCCACGTCCTCCGTCTCCGCCGCCGCCTGCGTCTCCTGCTCTTTCCCCGGACGCGCTTCTGTCTCTGTTCCTTTCTCGTTCACCGTCACCGCGGCGCTAACGGCTGCATCTTTAACGCCTCGGCTGTAATAGAAAACCGCTAAATGCATCGGCTTCTCCTCCCCGACGCCCACCGACCTCCTCTCCACGGCTTCTGCGTCTTTATCTTTATCCGCCCGTCTGCCTGTCGTCTCCTCGTGGTTTGGAGGTTCTTCTGAAGTTTGGGTGGAGGACTCGGCTCGACGCTGCGTCTGCTGCTGCTGCTTGGTCACCTCCAGGGCGGCGCTCTTCTCCTGCAGCTGTAGCAGGAGCATGTCTTTCTCTGCGCGCAGCTGTGCCACCTCCCTCTCCAGCGCGGGCACGCCCTTCACCCGCTCCTCCATCTCTTTGAGCTGCCTCAGGGCCGTCGCCATCTGCTCCCGGACCGTCTGCAGCTGACTGGGGGGCACCGCGGTGCTGCTGCTGCCTCCTGAGGGCGAGGACAACTTTATACAACCAGTTCACTCTTAGCAGCAAAAAGAAAAACAAATCGAGTTTAAGAGTCGTGTTCCCAACTGCTCTTTTTAAATAGTCTGTTTGTTTATTTGTTTTATGTTTGAGACGCGTCCAGACTGATTTCTCTCTGTACTTTTGAAATAATGTGCCTCGAGTCTCAAACATGGAAATCCATGTGTCACTTGTTTTTCAATATAAAACCAAAAATGAAAAAAATAAAAAATAAAATATATATATATATATATATATATATATATATATATAGTTTTTTCATTATTATATAATATTTTCTTCATTATTTGTCTCCAAAACCAAAATGAAAAAAAACAGATAATGATTAATTTTTTCAGTTTTCAATTTTGTGTTTAAATGAAGAATGGAAAAAACGGATAACGATTTCCTGTTTACGTGACTTAAACTTCGACACTGGACTAAACCAGGACTGAACCAGGACTAAACCAGGACTGAACCAGGACTAAACCAGGACTAAATCAGGACTAAACCAGGACTAAACCAGGACTAAATCAGGACTAAACTGTTTTCAGTCCTGGTCTCAGTTTTGGTCTCAGTTTTGGTCTGGTTCCTGTCTCAGACCCGGTCTCAGTCTCGGTCTAAGTCATGGACCTGGTCCGGTCCCGGTCTAATTCCTGGTCTCAGTCCTGGTCTGGTTCCGGTCTGGTTTAGTCCTGGTTTAGTCTCACATAAACGGGAAACGGCCATTATCCTTTTTTTTTTTTTTTCATTCTTCATTTAAACACAAAATTGAAAACTGAAAAAACAAATCATTAAAACTAAAATGAAAAAACAGATAGAGACAAATAATGAAGAAAACTGTTGTTTTTTCAGTTTCTTATTTTTGGTTTTATTTTAAAAAACAAATGACACACAGATTCATGTCGCCCAATCAGATGAGTTTATTTCACTGACGAGTGTGAACTGAAGGAGCTCATTTGGCCACAAAATTACATTACATTATTAATTACATTATTTTTTGTCATGTACCTAAAAAGCCTTTTCCTTTACAAAACAAAAATACCAGAGCTACTAGTTTCCGCAAAAAAAAAACCTGAGCTGATTCTGAGAAAGTGAGTGACGCCAATGAAACATAAACCACCGTCCATTTATCAACGCACGAAGTCGGGCTTCAAAACGACACACACACACACACACACACACACACACACACACACACACACACACACAGATGGTATAATTCAGAAATCCCTTGATGAGCGACTTGGAGGGGGGGGGGGGGTGTAAGTACCTGCGGAGGTGTAAGTACCTGCGGGGGTGTAAGTACCTGCGGAGGTGTAAGTACCTGCGGGGTGTAAGTACCTGCGGGGGTGTAAGTACCTGCGGGGGTGTAAGTACCTGCGGGGGTAACCTGCGGGGGTGTAAGTACCTGCGGGGTGTAAGTACCTGCGGGGTGTAAGTACCTGCGGGGTGTAAGTACCTGCGGGGTGTAAGTACCTGCGGGGGGGGGGTGTAAGTACCTGCGGGGTGTAAGTACCTGCGGGGGTGTAAGTACCTGCGGGGGTGTAAGTACCTGCGGGGTGTAAGTACCTGCGGGGGTGTAAGTACCTGCGGGGGTGTAAGTACCTGCGGGGGGTGTAAGTACCTGCGGGGGTGTAAGTACCTGCGGGGTGTAAGTACCTGCGGGGTGTAAGTACCTGCGGGGTAAGTACCTGTGGTAAGTACCTGCGGGGGGTGTAAGTACCTGCGGGGGTGTAAGTACCTGCGGGGTGTAAGTACCTGCGGGGGTAAGTACCTGCGGGGGGGGGTGTAAGTACCTGCGGGGGTGTAAGTACCTGCGGGTGTAAGTACCTGCGGGGGGGGTGTAAGTACCTGCGGGGGTGGGGGGGGGGTATGTACCTGCGGGGGTACCTGCGGGGGGGGGTGTAAGTACCTGCGGGGTGTATGTACCTGCGGGGGGTAAGTACCTGCGGGGTGTAAGTACCTGCGGGGTGTAAGTACCTGCGGGGGTGCTGCGTCCTGAGGTCTGGGGGCTGGGTTTGGTCCAGCTGCTGGGGACAGTCTGGGTCAGAGGAGGGGGGGCGGGGTGGGTGGGTCAGAGGGGGGGGGGCGGGGTGGGTCTGGGCAGGTTTGGGCGGGGCTCCGTTCTGGTGGTTCTGTTCTTGTTGCAGGCGCAGGCTCGTCTCCAGCAGGGTGCGCTCCACCCGAGGGTTCCTCTGGGGGGGAGGGGGAGGCACCTGAGGGCAGAGGGGGGGACAGACTCATTTAGACACAGATCTGACTCGTTTATTAACACTGACGTTGACTTGTGTGTGTGTGTGTGTGTGTGTGTGTGTGGACAGTCTGTGTGTTGTAGAACATCTATAAATGTAAGGAACGTGTCTGTGTCTCCTCCTGTTTGTTGGTTTGTTTGTTTGTTTGTTTGTTTGTTCCAAGCATAACTCTGGAACTGTTCATCCGACTGATCTCAAATTTGGGGTTTGTCGTCCTGATGGTTTGTGTTTGTTCATTGTCAAGTTTCATGTTGTTAGGGTAAAAAATGCCAAAGATCTGGTCTGATCTGAGGAGCCAAAATGAGCTTTAAAGGTTGTATGGAGGATTTTTTTTTGTTTTGTTTACAACTGTCATTGAAAGTTTAAAATACAATTACAGAAAAGCAGCAGCTTTGTAATTATGATGACCAAAAAAAAACAAAAAAAAAAGAATGAAAAACGATCAACTGTGGACGTGTTGAGGCCAGATAAACATCAGCCAATACAAAACGAGGCTCCCTCATTTTCTATTGGCTTGGTTTCTAGTGTAACTGACTCGCCGCCGCGCGGGGATTACGTGGTTTATGCGGCGGTTCTTCGAGGCTTTTTTAATCTGTAGCGTCTTCGCAGTTCGCACGAAGTTTGTTGCGACGGCGGACGAGAATCCACGAGCAGTTCGCCGCAAAAGAAAGTCGGTTTTTGAGGTCATGAAGAGAAGGGAAAAAGGAGCAAAACAAAACTGAGGTGAGTCTTGGAGATTTCTTACAGCGACGGCGCCACTGAAGCGGACAAAGGATTTTATTTCTAAACAGGTCACTTCAACAGGAATTCTTGAACGCGCTCTGGATGTAAACAAACGTGATTTCTAGAGTAAAGAGGCGGGAGGAAGAGATGTTTCTACTGAGGAGCTGTGGAGGAGGAAGGTGGTGTCACACAAGAGCAACATTTGAAAAAGAACTGTCGCTGTATTTCACTTCCCTTAAAAAATCCTCTGTACAACCTTTAAGAGTCGTTTCTGTTCTATCTAGACCAGAGGTGTTCACACTTTTACATCATGTGATCTACTTACAAAATGATCAAGTCATAATGATCGACCTGATACAAAGTCAAACAAACTGCACTGAAACACTCTGTGGCCCTTTTTTGGACCCTCCCCCACAGTTTGAGAACCTCTTCTTTAAGAGAACTTCCTCTGGCACTTTACACAAAACTGTGAAAAAAGTGAAGGAAGATTTTTAAAACCTGTTTTTTTAAAGTTCCAAACTGGAGTTTCATTCTTTTCTGGTTTTGCAGTGATATTTACCAGCCTCTGCACGTTTACCAAACCAAACGCACATCGTGACAAACACAGATGCATTTGTCACTTTTGTTACACAAACTTCAGCCAAATGTGGCAGTAGGTCTGTTCTGTAGATCCGCTCTATGCTGTAGACCTGCTTTGTGCCAACACTGGAACACAAATTTAGACTGGTTTTTGCTTCACGTTTGGTCTTGTTCTTCTAATCAGCCGCACTGTGGGAGGGGCTTGTGTTGGCTGTACGCAGGAAGGAGCGAGAGCGTGAAAAGGCGAGGGGCGGCGTGCTGACGTGAGGCAGGTGGACAGGTAGGATGTTTAGGAAGTTGAACCTGCCCTGTGATGCACGCTGGTACACGAGGGCACACGCTGTCGCAGACGAGCCGTGCATAGGGAGCGTGTGTGTTTGTGATGCGCCGTAGAGTCTCCGCGGGTTTCAAATGAGCGCACAGGCTGCACTGAGACGCCCCACACGCTCCTGCACCCGCTACAAGTTTATTACCAACAGCAGCGGCCGCAATGAAATATGATCACACTTGTTGAGTGTCAGCCTCGAGTGAGAGACAAGACCGAGTCCAAACACGAGTCCGAGAAGTGAACTAAGACACGGCGATCGACTGGTAGACTGCGACCGACGTATTGAGCACCTCTGGACTAGATGAACATTCTTCTACAAATCTGTGTGTCTGCAGTTTTACCTTGGCGCCGGCCGACAGGGGCGGGACGGTGATGAGGCTGACAGGTGACAGCGACAGGTGCTCGCAGGGGGCAGATCCGAGCCTGTTCCTGGGCGGCGGAGGGGGGGGCACCCGTCCGTCCTCGCTCACCGGAGACGTGAGCGACTCGGTGGACGTCCACCCGCTGCTCCTGCCCCCCCCCACCCCCGGGCTCCTCTGGGACGTCCTGAGCCCCCGAACCGAGCGCCTGCCGCCCCCCGGCGCCGCCCGCCGCGCCCCGTGCCCGCTCTCGATCTCCTCCACGTACTTGAGGAAGTCCAGGTCCAGCTGGAAGCCGTAGGGCGTCTGGACGGAGTAGGACGCCGGCTCCGGCTCATCCTGACTGGAGAAGTGGAAACGCCGAGCCCAGGTCTGCACCGACAACACAACAACACAAACAATCTTTTATCATGAGTCTGTCTACATCTCCAAAGCTCAAAACACTCTGTTCCACCTTGTGATGTCATCAAGTAGTAGTCTTTGAGTTTAAAGCCACGTTTTACCATTTGTTTAGAGGAAATGAGCTCCACATGATCCGAGTGAAGGTGTGTGGAGTTTAAACACACATGGAACGTCACAAAACACGACTCTGTGTGGCTCTTCATGGCTCTGTTTGGCTCTGCGTGACTCTATTTGACTCTGTGTGGCTCTGTGTGGCTCAGTTTGGCTCTGCGTGGCTCTGTGTGGCTCAGTTTGGCTCTGCGTGGCTCTGTGTGGCTCAGTTTGGCTCTGCGTGGCTCTGTGTGGCTCAGTTTGGCTCTGCGTGGCTCTGCTTGACTCTGTGTGGCTCTGTTTGGCTCTCTGTGACTCTCTGTGACTCTGTGTGACTCTCTGTGACTCTGTGTGACTCTGTGTGACTCTCTGTGACTCTGTGTGACTCTCTGTGACTCTCTGTGACTCTGTATGACTCTGTGTGACTCTCTGTGACTCTGTGTGGCTCTGTGTGACTCTCTGTGACTCTGTGTGACTCTCTGTGACTCTCTGTGACTCTGTATGACTCTGTGTGACTCTCTGTGACTCTGTTTGGCTCTGTGTGACTCTCTGTGACTCTGCGTGACTCTCTGTGACTCTGTGTGACTCTGTGTGACTCTGTGTGACTCTCTGTGACTCTCTGTGACTCTCTGTGACTCTGTGTGACTCTCTGTGACTCTCTGTGACTCTGTGTGACTCTCTGTGACTCTCTGTGTGACTCTGTGTGACTCTCTGTGACTCTGTGATGACTCTGTGTGTGACTCTCTGTGACTCTGTGACTCTGTGTGACTCTGTGTGACTCTGTGTGACTCTCTGTGACTCTGTGTGACTCTGTGTGACTCTCTGTGACTCTGTGTGACTCTGTGTGACTCTCTGTGACTCTCTGTGTGACTCTGTATGACTCTCTGTGACTCTGTATGACTCTGTGTGACTCTCTGTGACTCTGTGTGACTCTCTGTGACTCTCTGTGACTCTGTATGACTCTCTGTGACTCTGTGTAACTCTCTGTGACTCTCTGTGACTCTGTGTGACTCTGTGACTCTCTGTGACTCTCTGTGACTCTGTATGACTCTCTGTGACTCTGTGTGACTCTGTGTGACTCTCTGTGACTCTGTGACTCTGTGACTCTCTGTGACTCTCTGTGACTCTCTGTGACTCTGTGTGACTCTGTGTGACTCTGTGTGACTCTGTGACTCTCTGTGACTCTGTGTGACTCTCTGTGACTCTGTGTGACTCTCTGTGACTCTGTGTGACTCTCTGTGACTCTGTGTGACTCTGTGACTCTGTGTGACTCTGTGTGACTCTCTGTGACTCTGTGTGACTCTGTGTGACTCTCTGTGACTCTGTGTGACTCTCTGTGACTCTGTGTGACTCTCTGTGACTCTGTGTGACTCTCTGTGACTCTCTGTGACTCTGTGACTCTCTGTGACTCTCTGTGTGACTCTCTGTGACTCTGTGTGACTCTCTCTGTGACTCTCTGTGACTCTGTGACTCTCTGTGTGACTCTCTGTGACTCTGTGTGACTCTGTGTGACTCTCTGTGACTCTCTGTGACTCTCTGTGACTCTGTGTGACTCTGCTGTGACTCTCTGTGACTCTCTGTGACTCTGTATGACTCTGTGTGACTCTCTGTGACTCTGTGTGACTCTGTGACTCTCTGTGACTCTCTGTGACTCTCTGTGTGACTCTCTGTGACTCTGTGTGACTCTGTGTGACTCTGTGACTCTCTGTGACTCTGTGTGACTCTGTGTGACTCTCTGTGACTCTCTGTGACTCTGTGTGACTCTCTGTGACTCTGTGTGACTCTCTGTGACTCTCTGTGACTCTGTGTGACTCTCTGTGACTCTCTGTGACTCTCTGTGACTCTCTGTGTGACTCGTGACATCACAAGGTGGAACAGAGTGTTTTCTGTTTGACCGAAGAAACAAACTAAACAAAAACACATTTCCAGTTTTGTTCGTGACGGGAAAACGACATCAGAACAAATCACAAACACGTTTAACGCTGTAAAAACTTTCTTCTTATTTCATCTTTAACGTCTCTGATCAAAAGTTTGTGTGAGAATAAATTTAAAAACATTAAAATCTCTTCTGTACCTGTCAGTTTGGGGTTGACTTGCACCGACTGCGTCATGTTTACGCGTCACAGACTCAGAGAAACTCCTGCGGAAAAACAAAAACACAAAAACACCTCTGTTATTTTGGAGGAAATCAGATCTTCTCTAATGACACTGGGTCTGTGTCTGAGTTTAAAGGAGGTAACGACATTAGTCCAAACATTTGTCCTGGTTTCTTTTTCAGTTTGTATAATAATCCCAAACACATTTGTACGACGAGTATAAGGGGCAGAAAAAAATAAAATAAAATGATGCTGGTGCTACGAGAATAAAGCCGTAACATTTCAACATTAAAGTTCTAATTTTACGAGAATAAAGTCGAAGTTAAAATAAAGTCGTAATTTTATGACAATAAAGTTATAATATCACGAGAATGAAGTCGTAATAAAATCAAAGTCAAAGTGACAAATGCGGCAGAAGAAGAACCTGGTTTTTTCAATATAAAACCAAAAATAAGAAAATGAATAACAATTTTCTTCATTATTTGTGCCTCCGGACTGAACCAGGACTAAACCAGGACTAAACCAGGACTGAACCAGGACTAAATCAGAACTAAACGAGGTCTGAGACCAGACCGGGACTGAGACCAGGATTGAGACCAGGAACAGGACCAAGACTGAAAACGGTTCAGTCCTGGTTCAGTCCTGGTTCAGTCCTGGTTCAGTCCTGGTTCAGTCCTGGTTCAGTCCTGGTTTAGTCCTGGTTCAGTCCTGGTTTAGTCCTGGTTCAGTCCTGGTTCAGTCCGTATGCGGCGCAATAGTCTCATATCACATTTTAAAGTCATGTAGCATTAAATGTTCTGTTTTGTTCAGAAACTTTTCTTTTCTTGGATTTATCCAATATTTACACAGCCTATTAGATCAGCCGGTTTCACCTGGTGGAAACTGTGTGATCTCACAGCATGGTCAATGGTCAATGGTCAATGGTCACATTTTTCCACCTTCAAGACACTCAAAGCTCTTTACAACAAGGAACCACTCACACATTCACACTCCAGTGCACACAGACACTGTGGGCAAGGTGGGTTAAGTGTTTTGCCTAAGGACACAACGACAGCATTCATCTGTGGGAGCTGGAATCACACCAGCCAAACCTGTGGTCAGTGGATCTGACGCTCGACCTGTGATGTTCATGTCAAGAGCTGGAATCAAACCACCAACCTTCAGACCAGTGGGCGAATGTTCCTCCAACTGAACCACTGAGCATCAGGATTCGTTCACTCGACAGCAGACGGGGACTTTTTTTATTTAACCAATCGCTGTTATTTGTTCGTGACGTGTGTAAAGCTCCACTAACAGGATTAACTGGTTTATTAAACTTTTCCCAAATCCTGTAGGAAGAAGAACAATAACGTCTTTCCTCTTGATCAAATTCACCAAACTTTCTCTTTGTTCTGACTTTAAATCCTCCATCTCGGGAATCGTCGTCAACACAGAATGTCTGTCTCTTCTCTGATTGGCTGGAGCCCGAACTCACACTTCCGGGGTTTTTGCGAAACGTCTAGTGCATTTTGATTCTGATGAGGCACTAAAGTGGCACCAACCTTGAACTAAAATAACTGACTGACCTGGTGACACTGACATGATCGTGCTGCTGGTGCAGGACCTGGTCAGTCTGAGCTGCAGATCTGTACCAGGTGCTGCACATCAGCAGCTTTAACACATAGAGCAACAAAAATATTTTAAATGTTAAAAGATTATCTTTATCTACAAATGTAGAATTACATTTAAAAACGAATAAACTAACATAAAAATACACTGTAATTAAATACAAATGTATTTCCAAAGTCACAGAGAGCCACAGCAGACGGATGAAAGAGCCACATGTGGCTCTGGAGCCGCAGGTTCCTGAGCCGTGACCTTTGGGGAAGTGTAAAGAAGAGTGAAGAGTCCAGATCTACTCAAACAGAAGTGTCCTGAAAAAGTCTCCAGTGTCTCTGTGGTCTGTTTCAATCAGGTGAGAGTCTTTGAACGAGACGATCCAGAGTCTGGAGTCACAGGAGCAGATCTGTGTCTCTGGTGTAAATTGAATCTTTTCAAGTTCACTCGTGTGCAGCTGTCGATGTGACGCGTCTCGGACGTTCCTGGTGTGAAATTCCGGGTTATTTTCACATGAGCCACATCTGCTCGGCTCAGACCGGCTCATGTGATAAACTCTAATCACAATCACACTGGAACAGCTCCACGTGACACGAGTTTATACAGACACACAGACGACACCAGACACGACACCGGACACACGCGCGACACCGACACCGGCACACCGGACACACGGACACCGACACACGACACGGACACACGACACACGCACACACGGACACACGGACACACACCGACACACGGACACGGACACGCACGACACACGACGACACACGCACGAGACCGGACACACGCACGACACCGGACACACGCACGACACCGGACACACGCACGACACCGGACACACGCACGACACCGACACACGGACACACGGACACACGACGACACCGGACACACGCACGACACCGCACGACGCACACACGGACACACGCACGACACGGACACACGCACGACACCGGACACACGGACGAGACCGGACACACGCACGACACCGGACACACGCACGACACCGGACACACGCACGACACCGGACACACGACACGACACACGCACACCGGACACACGCACGACACACACGCACACGACACACGGACGGACACACGGACACACCGGACACACGCACGACACCGGACACACGCACGACACCGGACACACGCACGACACCGGACACACGCACGACACCGGACACACGGACGAGACCGGACACACGGACACACCGACGACACCGGACACACGACACGACACACGGACACACGCACGACACGACACACGGACACACGGACACACGACACACGACACACGCACGACACCGACACACGACGACACGGACACACGGACGACGACACGGACACACCGCACGACACCGAGGACACACGGACGACACGGACACACGCACGACACCGGACACACGCGACACCGGACACACGCACGACACCGGACACACGGACGAGACCGGACACACGGACGAGACCGGACACACGCACGACACCGGACACCGCACGACGGACACCGGACACACGGACGAGACCGGACACACGCACGACACCGGACACACGCACGACACCGGACACACGCACGACACCGGACACACGGACGACACCGGACACACGCACGACACCGGACACACGGACGAGACCGGACACACGGACGACACCGGACACACGCACGAGACCGGACACACGGACGACACCGGACACACGCACGACACCGGACACACGGACGAGACCGTACACACGCACGACACACCGGACACAGGGACGACACCGGACACACGCACGACCACCGGACACACGGACGAGACACGGACACACGCACGACACCGCACGACACCGACACGCACGACACCGGACACACGCACGACACCGGACACACGGACGACACCGGACACACGCACGACACCGGACTCACATGCTCTGACTCTAAGACACAGCAGCAGTGTGACTCTCCGTGACTCTCTGTGGCTCTCTGTGACTCCCTGTGACTCCCTGTGACTCCCTGTGACTCTCTGTGACTCTCTGTGACTCCCTGTGACTCTCTGTGACTCTCTGTGACTCCCTGTGACTCTCTGTGACTCCTGTGACTCCCTGTGACTCTCCTGTGACTCTGTGACTCCTGTGACTCCTGTGACTCCCTGTGACTCCCTGTGACTCCGTGTGACTCCCTGTGACTCCCTGTGACTCCCTGTGACTCCCTGTGACTCGTGACTCTCTCTCTGTGACTCTCTGTGACTCTCCTGTGACTCTCTGTGACTCTCTGTGACTCCCTGTGACTCTCTCTGTGACTCCTGTGACTGACTCCTGTGACTCCTGTGACTGTCTGTGACTCCCTGTGACTCCCTGTGACTCCCTGTGACTCTCTGTGACTCTCTGTGACTCTCTGTGACTGTGACTCTCTGTGACCTGTGACTCCCTGTGACTCTCTGTGACTCTCTGTGACTCCCTGTGACTCCCTGTGACTCCTGTGACTCTCTGTGACTCTCTGTGACTCCCTGTGACTCTCTGTGACTCCCTGTGACTCTCTGTGACTCCCTGTGACTCCTGTGACTCTCTGTGACTCTCTGTGACTCTCTGTGACTCTCTGTGGCTCTCTGTGGCTCTGTGCTGTTCCTTCAGGAGGTCAAACCCCCTCCTCCTTCCTCCTCCTTCACTCTGAGCCTCTTAAACCTCCGTCTCTGCTCCAAACACGTTCGTAAAGTCACGGAGCACTTCCTGCTCGGACACAGCAGCTGTTTGTGTGACGGGGGCAGGAGTTTCACCGAACGAAGCGAGAGTCTGAGCCAAACACGCCTCGCCCCAGCACAGATGTGACACGTAAACAGCTCCAGACGTGAAAAGAAAACCAACTAAAGAGAGAATCAGAACGTTTGTGTAAATATGGAGCAAGGGACTAAACCAGGACTAAACCAGGACTAAACCAGGACTAAACCTGGACTAAAACAGGACTAAAACAGGACTAAAACAGGACTAAAACAGGACTAAACCAGGACTAAACAAGGATTAAACCAGGACTAAACCAGGACTAAAACAGGACTAAAACAGGACTAAACAAGGACTAAACCAGGACTAAACCAGGACTAAACCTGGACTAAACCTGGACTAAAACAGGACTAAACAAGGATTAAACCAGGACTAAACCAGGACTAAACCAGGACTAAAACAGGACTAAACAAGGATTAAACCAGGACTAAAACAGGACTAAACAAGGATTAAACCAGGACTAAAACAGGACTAAAACAGGACTAAAACAGGACTAAACAAGGACTAAAACAGGACTAAACCAGGACTAAACCAGGACTAAAACAGGACTAAAACAGGACTAAACCAGGACTAAACCAGGACTAAAACAGGACTAAAACAGGACTAAACCAGGACTAAACCTGGACCTGGTTAAGACCTGGTTTAGTCCTGGTTTAGTGTCCGGCAATAAACTGGAATTACTGGAAGAAAAA